AAAATACTCTCTCCGTCTCTCTCTCTCTCTCTCTCTCTCTCTCCACTTCCTGGGTTTTTTGAGCCACCGCCACGGAAGCTGTTTCGTTTCTAGAACCCCAGACAGAGAAGGTGGATTTGAACAAGGAAAAGTCCACTGTGTCATAGTGCTCCATCTTGTTAGACGATCCATGCTGTTGTCGATGATATTTTTTCTAAATTTTTTTTTTAATTTTTTCATTGTCGCTTTGGGCTTTAGGAGACTCATGATTGGTGAGTTACCAGAGTGACCCCCCGTCTTTTACTATTTTGGGCCAAAGGTGTGTTCACTCGTCACAGTCATACAGAGATTAAAAGAGAAGCCCTGGAGTCAGCTTCAAAAGGTTGGGAGTTTTGCCCTTTGGCTTCCCCCCCTCCTTGATCAACCTTCGCTTCGTCTTCTCTCCTCTTAGGTGGGTCGAAACTAGAAGAAAGGAGTCCTCTAAAATAGAGTCTCTACATTGGCATCCCGGTTGCGGTACTTCACTTCCACTTGTGCACAATTCCCGACAGCTCCACACGTTACCTATCACCTTTCGTGGGTGAGATTCCTCGGCACAGTACTACCTGCAGAGTTCACCTGGGCACCGTCAGGCTCTTCCTGACCTTTTTTTGTCCCAAATTATCACATGGAGTACAGGAGCAGTAAAAAAAAAGACGTAAATAAATTGCCTTTTTCCCAAAAAAAAAGTCCTCGCTTGGAAAAGATTAGGTCTGGAAGCTATCATCCCTTGTGTTTTATAACCAGGACCCAATGGTCACTCTCAGTCAGGTTGTACCCTCGACCGTTGGCGCATGCAGTTGACTGCCACCGCTCTGATCGTGATACTCCCGAAAAGTCATAAAATTCAAGGGTGCATCCTCTACTGACAATTTTTGTGTGTTGATTTGATGCACGCGGAACCCCATCCTCTCTCATGGACATCATCCGAGCTCATGTCTTTGACCCTGTGTCCGAAGTACCATCGCGTACGAATCCTACTATGCACAGTCACGGGGCACTTGAGAACATCTCCGCAGCACTTTCCGCAGAACCACACTTCAATTTTGCCTCTTGGAACTAAAAATTGGTTGCGGGTAGTTTGCTCCGTACGAGAGACCGAAATCCGGAACCTAGAAACTAACCCGTGCTAACTGATGGTTGGGTGCTCTCCAAGGGAGCAAAGCTGAAATCGATCACTGACTCATGTTGTCTTTTGCTCCTATCCCTAGGTATCATAAAACTCAACCTCTGTGGAGGAGCTTCTTCTATTTAATGGTCAAACCGATCCCTTACACTGCGTACAACATGTGGAGTCTCGATCACAGTATGTTTTTTTGTGGTTCTTTGATTACACGATACTGACACCTTCATCATTACACGGTGGGGCTTGGGGCTTGGGTTTCCGGCACAAGCCCTCTTGCGCCCGGCATCTACTTCCTCTGGAAATTTAAATTTGCTTAGAATAATGTGACATTTGAATTTCGTGTTCTTTTTTTCGCCTATCTGAGGCGCCAGTTGCAAGACCAAAACCCCCCCCCCCCCCTCCGTCTAAACCTCTCAAAAATGCTGAGGATCTCCCTGCTATGTTCAAACTACATTGCTCCTACCCAGCGCAGCTCCTTGCATGTTCACATCCTTGCGGGTCT